GCATACTAATCTCATGTTATATGATAACTATACATCAATTTTGCGTACGATTGAAAATATTTTTATCTTTTTAACCTTGTATTGAAGTAGGTATCAGTGTTAAGGTCATATTTTGCAAACTAGTGGCCAAAGTAAAAAGGGCTTTACTAAGGGAACCTAATTCTCTCCTCTCATTTTGCTGGAAGCGCTGATCCAATTTGACCCTTTTAGTCTTCAATTTACATTATCTAAGTCAAATCAAAGTCTTCCTCTTGCCCTGTAAGATCCATTTTGTATCCTGGGTCCAGCAATTTCACACGACTGATGCCATCATATCTCTGATACTCAAACCGTTATTTCCCACAATCTGCCTCTAGCCTTTGATAGTACGCATATTCTAGCCTCGATGAGCAGACCCCAAAGGTCTAAATTTAGTGATGCAAAAACATTGCAAGGCTTATTAAAGATATTAGATATGATGCCAAAAATGTCTATGAATATACTAATTCTACGGTGCGACATTGAAAATTATCAAGAATACTATAGCAGAGGACTCCGGACGAGGTATATTCATCTGGGCCCTTGCGACACTACGATCAAGTTAAGAAAGCGAGGCCAAATAACTTATATACAAGGAAAGTAGACCGCTAGCATAACAAGGCAACATCATTTCGGTCTTCATACCTTCGATAAATAAAGTAGGATAATAAAAGACAATCAAGTGTAAAGAGTGGCTAGATAACGCCAAAATCATATAAGAAAAAGAAAAAATAGGAGTACCATGTATGGCGAAAACTTAGTAATGTAAAGTGAATGAAGAGGTATAGGAGTAAAATAACCAGAGAAAGAGGTAAAATTATGGAAATAGTTTATGACTCAAAATATCCCCCGTGATACGCAATTGTAACGCGATAGAAAATAAAATCATCGGTTAGTTAACATAAAATATATTTTCACTAAAGGTCACCTTATTTGAAAAAGATCTTTTAGCTTGTCTAACTATTGAAGAATTGAAAGCCTTTCCTTATTTCCTTGTGGTTGCAACGCTCTTAGGTCACAAACACAGTATAGCTTTGCCAGCATTTTAGCATATATGACTACTAGGGTATAAATGAAAAATTAAAAAAGATAGGGATAAAATAATCCCAACTCTAGTTTAAAAACTCACCGGGAAGCCACCGAAAGAAAGACTAAAAGTGCATTCGACTGGAGTGTTCACTGTGAATGTGCTGACCATAACGGTAGTGAGAGCCAGAGGACCCCAGAAGCATATAAAGAGGAAGCCGAGGAAGAGAAAGCCGACTACGTATTTAGACGAAATCTTTCGATTCTGACCACGTGGAGTAGGATAAGCCAATTCCGAGCGGCGCCAGCACTTATGAATAAAGATTTTGGCGTAGATATCTTCCAATTCCATCCAGTGGTAGAAGGAAAGTGAGCTCTGCGTCCAGATCCAATCCATGATATTTCGCAGCTCAAAGACAAATGGTACCAACATGTAGCTACATCAAAGTCGTCAAGAAATTGGATATAAATAGAGACAATGAGGGCGATAGCAATAATGGTGTTGGTATGAATAAAAGGTGTGCGAAAATTGGAAGATATGGTAGCGACAAATAAATGCTGAGTAGGTAATATCAAGTTGATTGGATTATTATAAAAATAAATAATAGGAAAAAATATGGTAAAGTAGCACCATTGAGGGGAATTAATCAAATAAGATTTCCCATTACAATCAAAGTAAAATTTCGATGCAGAAAAAGTGCATCCATTACTACGTGACGTGTAGGAAAATATAAGAGTTGCTACGTGACGGACTGGTGGCTCAGGTAACATACCATTTCAAATGTGGGAAATCTAACACATAAATGAGTCCAGACAATGTCGCCCTATTGTATATAGTATAAGTTTGTGTCATGCGAAGGCAAGTTGTGTGCAATACGAACAAGGGATGTTTAAAAGTAAAGAGCTAAAACTAAACTTGCCCTCAAACAAAGCATCATTGGTAAAATAAAGATGCTAGGAGACTATAAGGACAGATGAGCTGGGAGTCTTGCTAATCACTTTTATAGTTAATAAGATCAGGTCGGATGCTACCTATATAGAGATTCTAAAGAAGTATTAATATATCCAATCCAAGCAGGACAATTTACTGGTTAATCTTCTTTATTTAAGAGTGTCATTCCCTTAAGTTTTTTGTAACATGGAGGCTGACCAATAAATTCAAGCCAACATGAACGGCATCGTGGTATTCTAAAGTAGAGATGGTTAGGAAAATTCTGATAAGTACAGGTAAATAACCTCTTCAATATATATCTCTAATAGAAATGAAAATCCTCCCAAAAGAAGGTAATATCGAATTTAATTTTTCCTGTAGGCTGACCTTTTTCTGTAAATATAGAATAAATGGAATGATTAAACTAGAGGAAGTTCAACAAGAGTATAGGGGCAAATAAGCTTAGTCTACTAATAGAAGCATTCAAAGTTTGGCAAATCTCAGATGCTGAAAAATACGGGTTGAGAAGAAAGCCTGCAAAACATAAAAATAGCATAGAGATTCTGATGAAACCTAGAGGCCAGTAAATCTAAGACAATGCTGAATGAAGCTAGAGAATATGGTTCATCTAGATAATGAAACTAGTTAACAAAAATTAGCAGTGAGATTATAGTGATTACCTTTCAGGCAATAGATCACTAAAGAATAAAATGTATTAAGATAGTTTCGTCAATGGTATAATAATTATTCTTATATAAGTAGGGTTTGGAAACCTAGCCTTTCTTGAAAGTCACATCTACCAAAGGGCACTCAAGACAATTGGCCGAGTGGTTAACGTGCCAAGCTCACATGTCTCAGTCACGGTTAGA